CATCTCGACTTCGTTCTTGTCACCAGTCAAAGGGGTTAGGGTTAGAGTGAGGTAAACACTTGAGCATCTTATTTCACTATAATCTCGTATTTAGCTCCATTACCGTCTTTGCTCTTGAGCACATGTTGGACTTCATCGAAACCGATGGTTATACTACACTTATTTACAGTATAAAACCAACAGAACAAGGAGCTTGTGACTAAATGAATAGGGCGTTTGACCCCAAGTCAACTGGTTGCCGATTCGATTGTCAAACGTTTTACCACTTGAGGCTGGGTATGTTTAGTTGATAACAACCAGTAGTCCAGAAATGGTCGTGCAAAGCTCCTTAGCAAAAAGCTTACAGTTGGAGTATTGATAAGAACATAGTTTGACGAGAACGGGGCATCTTTCTTACATAGTTCGAGCATTGGCTGCATTAAAACCTTCCCCTGATGACGTTGGCTGTAATCCCACAGAGGCCATCGAGCTTGTTCCAAGCTTACTTTTTCAATGTATCAGATGGGGTTGAGCAATGCACCTGGGATTCCGCTTAATTTAACCGTAAGAAAACTTTCATAAGGTCATGTGCTGATCGACTGGCTATTGCTAATAAGTTTAAATATAGTTGTCACTGGCAATTATTCACACAACAATTTGTGCATACAAGGAGGATTTTACCATACAGAAACTTTTCACTTTTCTTCGACGGGGGGAATATGATGGCTTTTAGACTGTCTTTTAAATACCCAAAAATACTTCACGATATTCTGTGCTTTGATTCGATTGCCGGGGTACGAAGATGCTCTTCTGTGTGCTTAACGAAAATTTTAAAATACAAAACACACCAAAAACCATTTACCGAAATAGTGAGTCCATGGACATTCTTTCTGATGCAGTTAGCCATTGGGTCATATTGGTAAGTTCATGCAAACGCGAAAACTTGATGTTCGGAAATGTGAACGTTCCCAACAAATGCGGGTAATTAATAGGCCTCAAAATTAAACTTTCCTGACGTATCGCTACCCAGTTTACCATGTGTGAAGGTTAACTTAAAGTAAAAATTTGAACGTATTACTATTTCTTTACGTCGCTGAACATCACTGATAGTTTGCCTGCTCCAAATGAAAAAAACTCCTTTTTGATTTATATTTGAACTCTTTTCGCCATACTCACATACGTTAAACTGTATTCAAAGATTGTATACATGCAAGAGGTTTGCTCAACAAATCTCAAACTATTTCTGATTTTCTGCCCGTTCCGTTTCCAAATTACACCTTTGTGGGAACTATAAAATACAAAAATAGCTCACCTTACACTCCAAATGTAATACAGCATTTGTGGGAGGTCAATCGGTGGGGAGCTGTAAAAGTACAAGGTAGGAAGTTTAAAAAAATGGTTGCCAATGCATTATTATGTTCCGCTTTAAAGCAGCAAAACACATACATGCACATTTAAATATTTAAAATCGATAAAACATCTGCATTTATAAAAATCCCCAGCTAGTTGGCCACTTTAACTACCGGTGCGCTGAGTAGCAAACATTTACGCTGACATTTTTAAATACTGTGGGTGATAAACTTATTTAAAAATAAAGCCTGCATGTAAGGATAACGTTTTCCGGAACAGGCCGATAGAATAAATGATATGTTCAGAATTTTATTTGATAACAAATGATCGCTAACTTTCCATCCTCTCTTTCATGATTCAGGGTAGGTGGGTTTGAATACACATTTGAGGTTAATTATTTTGTTGGTGTAATGGCATTGTACTACTTTTACTTCTACTTGTTTCGGCTCTGGTCATGCCTGATCTAGCTGGCCTCGATGATGTCATGGACGATGCCTCTCCATGCGTGACGATTGACGGCAGCGGATCTAGAGAGCTCTACCCAGTCTGCCGGAGAATGAATACCGAAGGTTCAAGAACCACTTCTATGTCCTGAGGGACTGAGTCAAGCCAGGTTTTGAGTTGACTGCCTCTTCGACGTTTCCACTTAGGTAACGGTTTCAAGTCCAAGGCAGTAACACTGAGCTCCTGAGGTTGACGACGATGAACGTGTCCAAACCACATCAGTCGTCTTTACTGAATGGCCTGGGATATCCTTGAGATTTTGTCGCGTCGGGTGCGAACTGTCTCATCTGAGACGAAGTCGGTATTATTCACTAGAAGGATGGTCCTAAAGCAGTAGCTGTCAAAGACTTCCAGCTTCCGTGCATCTTTCATGCGCATAGCGCTACATCAGCATCCGTATAGAAGAATGCGGTACACGCGGATCTTTGTGGAGATAGAAATATAGCGTCGGATCCATAGGCACTTCCGAAGGCTGGAGAAAACTCGCCGTGCTGCGTCAATTTGGGAGAAGATATCATCTTTACTCTGTCCATTCGACAGCAAACTCGCTTAGAGGTATTTTAAACTGTCTACTTCTTCAATTTGACAGCCATTAATTTCATCAGGTGCCCCCTCTTGGGCAGGGATGCAGCATGAAAACACTTTGGTCTTCCCAGCGTTTATAGACAAACCGACCGATTTCGCGACCTCATTCACCTGTGACACCATAGACTGTAGATAGCCAAAGCTTGAAGCTAGTAAAGTGATATCATCGGCATAGTCGAGGTCAGTCAACCGGCGCTCGGATGTAGGACCTTCCCGAGAGCCCATTCAATGGCGTAGTTAAAGAGGATGGGTGACAGGACACGGCCTCGCGAATGCCAGACCGCAAAGCGAAGGATTCTGAGAGGTTGTTCTGGACTAGAACCCGCGCAGTGGTGGAGCGGTAGTATGCTCTGATCATGACGATTATCTTTGGTGGTAAACCATCAAATGCCTCTATCCGCCATAGGGAGTCACGGTGGATGGAGTCGAACGCAAAGGGTATGGAAGGAAAAGATGAGCCAACTTTAGCGAAATCTAATGTTTCTTGATAGCCGTGGACTTTCTTATGCTACTAAAACCTGCGGCTAAAAAAATTTCCTTTTTGCGTCATATAATATAAATACTAGTCTATACTATAAATAAAGGTAAGCCATACGGTTTTAACGATATGTTTGTAGATAACGGAAAAGTTCGTTTTTATTCATGGAAATTGGGGAAAATGCATGACCAAGAAATTGTGTTGTTTGCGGAAAAAGAAAAGTGGATTCAGTTTGAACAATTCTGTTTTGCATATCCTACGCATTTTTGTGCCATAAAATTAGCTTGCAGACCCGTGCAGCTGTAGGTTATTTTACCACACCGAAAGTAATAAGCGTAAAGAAAATTATATACAGCTGACTGAAGCGAAGATGCGCCTAACCGCGGCCACAATTGAGAAGAAACGGCCATCAAGGAAAAGCATTTTTTTTTCTGTACTGAATTTTCACAAACATACAATCTTCCCTCGTCGGAGTTGGGTCCTGTATAGCTCCTCACAAACTTACTGAGGCGTCAAACTTGTTGGCGTGCTGGCTCTATGGCTGTTAGCGCAGTTCCCCGCGGCAAGGAAGGGGGAGTTTAATCGTCGTGACGCCGGCCAGTGTTTCTCACTCTCACCTCGTCGGAGGGGGAGGGTGGTATCGGCATGGCAATGTTCACTGCTCTCAGCTGCATTGACCGCGTCTGTTGCTAATGTTCCACCTGTCTTGTCCTTGCCCCACCCTCCCGTTTACATCTGCGCGTGTGCGTCTTGGCGGTAGATGCTGCGTCATCACGACTGTCTCCCTTCTTTCCGGGATGACAAACCCCACCGGAAATGTTTAAGCCCAAACGGTTGTCATGTGGTTATGTGTTTGAGCCCGACAGGAGGTCTTGTTTGTTCATGTTCCCCACGGTATCCCTTACGGCTGCTTTGGTGTACGATATACCTCCCCGCTTGCCTGTATTCTGGTTCGGTATGGCCTAAAGCCAAGACGGCAACACACCTAAAGGCAACCACCATACGTCAGGCCCTAAGCTAACAGGAACCATCCGCTGTGTCACGAACACAGCTACGTGTGAACTGCCAATAGAAGTTAATATACGAGTTCCAGAAAGCAGTTCGGAAGGAGAAGAAGAGG